ATTAGATATTTTCCGACAGCGCATCTGATGATCTCTCATGGCACACTAGTGTCACTGGTCTAACCCACATGCAGATTCTTGGAAACAACGCTGTCTTTAAAAGGTTTATTTACACAAAATACATAAATATTGCCAAGGTTGTTTGAAGTTGCTTAGGTGACTGGAACTCCGGAAGAACAGGCAAATCAGATTTAAGCTGAACGTGAATGGCAGGTTGATTTTGAAGAAGAGAGACTTGGGATATGAGGTGGATCCATCAGGGAGGAGTTTAAATGGGATCTGGGAGTTGGGGCTTAAGGGTTGAATCCGAGGTGGTAATGGCTGAGGAGGGTAGAAGAGTTTTAAGAGGATGTTGGAGGGTGGATCATGAGAGTAGTCAGTAGCTGCCAGCCAGTTGTTGCACAAGAGAATTCACAGCAAGTATGTACAGAATTTTGGATGTAGGAAGATTTGCTCAGAAACAGAATCCAAATGAGCTTCTAGATCCTGAATGAAACAAAGGGGAAACCAGGTAAGGTTAGTCAAAACCAGTAAAAAATATGCTAAGAGTCTAGAGGGCCAGAAGTTACCACTTAAATCAGTAATTGAAGTACTGGGAGCAAACTTCTTTAATAGTCTGGAGCTGATGAGGAACAGGTGCAGGCAATCAATCAGTGCAACCCAACCAACAATGCTCTCAGATGACCTCTGGATGATGGTCTTGAAAACTGCAGAAGAAAATAGAACATACTCCCAGACCCCAACACAGGGAATATAAAATATGTAGTTATCAACATATAACTGGTGGATTTGATAAAATTAAACCACATCCCACTATTAAAAAAGGTAGAAGATGATTTTGCCAGATGGAAATCCCTACCATATCACTTTTTGGTACAAAGGATAGCTTCAATAAAAATTATGCTCTTGCCAAAAATAAATAACCTATTTTTGATGATTCCAAGTGAACCATAATCAGAATGGTTTAAATCTCTAGATTGTTCCAGTACCAGATTTCTCTGGAAAGATAAACCCCCACATTTTAGCTGAAGACCTAAGAAAAATGAGGATTAGTATGCTCTATCTCCACTGCCCAGTCCCTGGCCTCTCCTTATCTGGGGAATGGCTCTCCCTTTCTAAGACGAGGGACAAGGTATTGGAGCTGCGGTTGGCATTTGAGGGTTGGGGAGTGATGGGGGGGACTTGGGGCCCCGGGTATGGGTTTTGGTCTGCCCCTAAAACTTGGTGCCTCGATCCCCTTGTTGAGGCTGGAGAACAAGATGTCTATTAAGGGCATTAGGTGAGTTGGCTCTCTGGGAGAACCCCTTCCCAGTTCTCTGCTTCCGATCTCGGATGCTTCCCCTGATCTGCTTAATCACAGTGCTGCACACATAGGATCCTGGAGTAGCAATCATCAAATGAGTGGCTCCTCCCATGCTGGTGCTGGCCTTTGCCCTAATTTTTTTTAACACATTAGTCAGCATCATTTATCATTTTTAACATTTCCAAGACACACATATGTAGGACATCAGGGTGGGCATACTTGGGGCACTAGAGGTGAGTCAGGCTTTTGGTTTGCTTCTGATGCTCATGTGCGCCTGTGGTTCTTGGTTGTTGGAATGCATTTAGACACAATTTTTAGGGTGGGAGGTGGGGAATTCTATGCCCCCAGACCTCCGACCCCGGGGCTCTGACCAGGGTCCATCTTGGACAAGACCCCTTTGGGCTTTGGCCCCTTGGGGGTCGGGCTCCGGGTGCTTTTGTCTGCCCTTCTCTGCTAGGTGCGGCTATCCCTATGTCTGCCTTCCTTGTGTCCAAATGATCTGGGGTTCTTCTAGATATCTGGGACTCATGTCAACTCTTATTCTATCAGGTCCCTAAGTCTGGGGCCACTGAACACCTGCTACTGAGCATATTCTCCCCCTGAAGAAGCTTTGTAAATCCTTTTTACGCGAACATACCCATGCAACCACACCACGTAAGTTTGGGTCCAGGTGTTCACGCATGCACACTGATACTAAATTCTAAGCTAAAGCTACAGATATATACCACCCAGAATAAAATTGTGTAATCACCATAGGTTTTTCCCCTCAAAAACTTTATTTTCATGGTATATACACAGTGTAAACAAAAAGAAGTTTCAATGCATACGTTTTTCAACAGTGAATGGGAAGCTTACAACAGTGAAATTAACATTTCCACAGTGAAGGTGAAAAGGTAAACAGTTTAAAGACATGGTGCAAAATGCAGTAGAAACATTGCATTCAGTTCTATATAAAGGGATTATAAAAAAGAAAATCCGCCATGTAGTGCAAATATGATGTTTACAAGTGGGAGTCTTGGTTAGTATTTTGAATAGAGTTTAAACAGTTCAACGGTCTGATGGCAGCGGGGAGAAAGCTGCTGCAGAACCTGACGTTCCTGCATTGAATGCTGTGAAGCCTCTTCCTAGAGGGCAGCAGGCAGAACAGTCCATGGTGGGGGTGTGAAGGGTCACTGATGCTGTTACGGGCTCTGGACATGCAGCGCTGGGATGAAATGTCTTTAATGGAGGGAAGAGGAGCCCCAGTGATCCTCTCAGTTGTCCTTACCCCTCTTCTCACTTCTTCAGTCTGAGGCGCTGCAGCCTCCACACCACACAGTGAGACAGCTGCTTAGAATGCTCTCTATGGTGCTTCTGTAGAAGGATGGGTGGGGACAGGTAGGCTTTCCTCATCCTCTACAGGAAATGCAAGTGCTTCTGTGCCCTCTTAACCAGTGAGGTGGTGTAAACAGTCCAAATGAGTTGAATGTGATGTGTACCCCAGGACTTGGTACTGCTGACCACCTTTACAGCTGAGCTTTCGATGAGCAGTGGAATATGGCTGGGCCAGTTCTTTTTGAAGTTGGCAATGATCTCCTTCATCTTCTCCACGTTCAGGATCAGGCTGTTGTCTCTACATCAGCCCACCAGCTGCTCCACCTCCTCTCTATAGTCCTGGTCATTGTCGTCTAAGATGAGGCCCACCACCGCAGTGTCATCAGCCAAAGTCAAAATCGTAATATGTCTTATGACTTCAGAAAAGTTTGAGGATATTTATGATGTTGCTCTGTTCTGTTGAACATTTAATGGAAATATAACTGCCGGGAAGGTAACTGGTCCACCCATTTTCTGATTCCTGTTGTTCTTTGATAAAAGCAGTTAAGATATATATATAGAACCTTTGTGGTTTCACTTTCCAGTTATTTACCTCATCTAAAAGTTATTCTACCGTTTTTTTTTTTTTAATTAAAGTATTTATGTCTGTTGTCGCAGCTCATTATGACTGATCGAGACAAGTCCAGACAGGAAACAGCTATAACATATGAGATCTGTTCCCACAGCAAGCCAGGGGGAGAAATTAGTGAACACTTGCACGCAGATACCAAAGCAAAGAACGGATTGTTTCGTTTCAAAGAAAATAAACCAGTAGGGACTGGTTGAGTTGGTATAAACATTCAAAGGTAAATATACGACACCACATCACTGGCTGCATCACACTGCATCACTGCATCAGTTAAAAATGATAATTGTTGATGGGCTTAAATCAAATACCTATATTTATTTGACATTGATAATTGATATCAAAATATGTGTAAAACATATACACAGCCTAATGGCAGCTGGTCTGCCCACCCTGGAAACTTGATGCTCTGACTTTGAATAAAACAATTTCAAGTAATATAGTAGTAAGTAAGTAAGTAGTAAGTAATATAAGTAAGGGGGTTGGGTTGATACGGTATCTCTTTTGTTCTATGCCCTGATTTGGAAATTATTGTTGTTTGTCGATATTGTTGTGCAGTTGTTTCAAACCAAAGGAGCTGCAGAGCCTCTAGAGTTTTTAATCCTTGTAACCAGCATTTCCTGCCCATATGCTCTTTACAAATTGATAACTGTAAAGTGGTAAAGTAGATGGATTACTTTAGATAGACAGAACACTGACTAATGTTTAATTGAAGTCTATGTGTAATTTTAATGTTGAAATCATCTGTGTTGCTCAGTACTTTGTTTACCAATATCATCACATCTAGAAAAACAATTCAGCAATAAAGGAAGAAAAAACTCCTGTAATATAATTTCCTCTCTGCTGTAGCTCAGTAGAAACTCACAATAAACTCAAAAGATGATCCAAAGCAGAAAAAGACATCTGTGGTGTTTGTGATGTTTGTCTATTCTGTTGGAAGTTTAACTGAAATATAACTGCCAGGCAGGTCTCCACCCAATTTTTTATTGCTTTTTTTTTTACTTTTACAAAAGAAGTTATGAAGTAAATCCTAGAATGAAATTGCTTCAGGGGAAATAAAAACCTTTTGACAGCCATCTGTACTCTTCCTACACCTTAGGATCTTTGTGGATTTATTGTCTGTTTATTTACCTCTTTTAAATTGTATTCTTCTATTTGTGGTTTCTTAACTAAAGTATTCATATTTGTTGTACCAGTTCACCATAACTAGTCTAGACAAGTCCCTACAGAAACAGATGTATGAACATTTTTACCATAGCACACCAACGACAGGAATTATTGGTGGCTTTGCATGCACGTCTCAAAGCATTGAGACAACAAAACATTGTTTTCTTTTATTCTTTGGGGGTTTCTTATTCTTTTTCTTTTTTACTTCTCGGTGCAGTTTCAGTGCTTTCATAGTCTGTATAATGATTTTTTTTTTAAATAAACATTTTCTTGATGAAAATAAATGACTTTTCCCCTTCTGTCTCTCCGAGTCCCGATATGCCACACCCTCTTGTTCCTCTACTCCACATTCTGCTTTCTGTCATTCTACACGTGAACCTCATAGGAATCAACTTTACCTTGGTCAGAAAGCCTTTTATGATTAATTTCAGACTTTCTTTTCTTTTTGATGAGTGAACAATTTTTGCAATAAATTTGTTCTTTACAAGGTAAGCTTTTTAACTTATTTTCTTTTCTTAACACCTAAACATCTATTTTCTAAACTAGTGAAACATATAACTACTGTAGTTTTAAAACATAATCTGTCTTTCAGTTTTTGGTTGTGGTCATGGATGACTTTGTTTGTGACAAACTAAGTCAGTGGGGTCTGAGTGAGCTCATAGAAAAATTTAGAGGTAAAGTATAACACTACATAACATTTCATGCCATTCATCTGAAAGACATAGCCTTAAACTTGTCTTGCTGTTTTACAACATCAAGTATCATTGAATGTTCATAACCTAAGTAATCATATTTGGAACACAATGAAAAGCTAAACACAAATGCAATGTTTATGGAGTTACTTAAGTAAATAATCTTCATTGTGATTGTGACCTGTAAAGTTCTTTAAAGCCTCAACACTCTTTACCACCTCCCAGAATCCAAACCTAATTTCCTGCAGAACCACTTAGGGCTGACCCAACATGTAGTACTTAATAGAATGACTAAATTCAGTCATACTTGATAACAAGAAATCAGACTGTGTTGTCGTAAAGTATGCAATGAAATAATAGCAATGACCCTTGTACATACACATTCAACACCTCTCTCTTTCCC